GATGGAACAATCTGATACTCAACCACCTGGACTCTCTGAACTGGCAACAAAAGAGGATCTGGGAAAAATGAAATCAGAAATAATTTCTCAGATAACAGCAAAGATTTTGCTCATGGTGCAAGACATGAAAGAGCAAGGTCCTGAGTTCAATCCTTACCACCATCAAAAAAAAAAAATTAAGGCATACTGCCATCCCTGTATCAACTCACTCAGTACTACATTTTGGCAGTCTTGCTAAATTTACTTTGTTTTCTTAAATAACTGCCTAATAAGCTGTTTCTGACAATGCTACCATCATTTAATTGAATAGATCTCCAAGTTGAAGGACCCTGGGGCTGCTTTTAATGTTTGGTATTTGAGTTAAATTTTAAATAAGAGAAGAGACACACATTGATGAAGGGAGGATTCTAGGTTATGAAAAAAAATCTTGATTGATCGATCGATTGATTGTAGAACTGGGGATTGAACCCAAGGGTTTCCCCATGTTAGGGAAGCACTCTACCACTGAGCTACCTCCCTGTCCCTTTTCTTTTTATTTTGAGACAGAGCCTTGCTAAATGGTCCAGGCAGGCCTTGAACATGGAATCCTCCTGCCTCAGCCTCTGGAGTAGCTGGGAGTATAGGTGTGGGTCACCATGCCTGGCTTGGAAAGATGTTTATACATAAACAGGGGACCCTAGCATTTTTGTCTCAGGAGCTACTCTTGCTTGTGGAAGTGAACATATTAATGAGGACGGAGGTGGGAAAGAATGGATGTTTGTGCAGGCCTTTGAGTCTGTGAGTTGGGCTGTGACATGTCGCACAGGACTGGGGAGAAGCTGGCCACAGCTCCTCTAGACCAGGAGAGGAGCTGCCCCAGGATCCCTCCGGAGACGCACGCTCTTGCTATCCCCAGCTGTCCCCCTTATTGTCAACCGACCATTAGCATGGTTTTCTGGGCCCCGTTTTCAAGCTAGAAACGTGAAGGGTTCGAAAGGACACAGGAGAGACCTAGAGCTTTTGGGGAAATTTGTTCAGGGAGATGAGACTCGAGAAGCGAGCCTTATGTCTCAGGCTGCCTCCCACCAGTTCCTCCATTCTGTCCTCTGCCTGCTGATGTTGGAAGAATCAGTCTGGAAGCTGCTGTTTACCAGTGGCATAGTCTTGAGTAACATCTCCAAGCTTCAGTTCCTCCATCCATAAAATGGGCAGAATGTTCAACTGGCAGCAGTGTGGGGAAGATTGAATGAGTTGATGGATGTGGAGGGTCTGTGTTTCATTTTGCCTTTCTTTCCCAAGGCCTGGCCAGAGTAGAGTTTACGAGGCAGTGTGCCATCTACCCTAAGATGATAGAGAAAAGCATATTCTACTCTTCCCTGGGCCGGCCGGCCAATGTAAGCATCCCACACTTGCGTTCTTTGTTGAAAATACTCCTAAAAGTTAGGGGATTCTCCCCAGATTTTTTTATATTTGTATAGCACTGTATGGCTTGCAAAGGACTTCAACAATGATCTAATGTGAACCTCCTAACAAACTCTGGGAAAGGGCACTTTTTTTTTTATACCAGGGATTGAACTCAGGACCTTGGGCTTGCCAGGCAGGCTCGGTGCCACTAAGCTAAATCCCTGGCCCAAGGGCACATTTTATTCCCACTTGACAGATGACAAAACCAAGGCTCGGAGTGCTTGATTTAAGAATCTGAGGCTCCAAGAAGATATATGAATGAATAGCAGAGACCAAAAATAGGTAAATTCTATGAAAGACGTCTATAATGAAAACTATGAAAAAGGAGATCAAAGAGGACGCCAGAAATTGGAAAGATACCCCTTGCTCCTAGATAAGCAGAACCAACATTGTCAACAGGACCATATTACCCAAGCTGATATATAGATTTAATTCAATCCCAGTTAAAATAGCAACAGCACACCTCACGGAACTAAAGAAAACAATCCTAAAATTCACACAGATCTAGAAGAGACCCAGCAAAAGTAATGCTGGACACCAAGAGCACAAGGGGCATCACAAGCCCAGATTTCAAGTTATATTATAAAGTTACAGTGAAAAAGCAGCATGGTGTTGGTATAGAAACAGATTTGTAGATCAGTGCAACAGAATAGAAGACACAGAAGCAACCCGGGCATATTCAGCCATCTCATTTTTGATGAAGGGGCACAAAACATGCTGGAAGGAAGAGCCTCATTACCAGAGGATACTGGGAAAACTGGTTATAACAAGGAGAAGACTGAATCTGAAGACGGGCATGGTGCCACACACCTGTGATCCCAGCACTTGGGAGGCTGAGGCAGGAGGATTGCCATGAGTTCGAGGCCAACCTGGGCTACATAGTGAGTTCAAGGTCAGCCTGAACTACACAGTGAGACCCTGTCTCAACTCCCCTGTGCCAGGAAAAGATTGTGAATCTAGACCCATGTCTATAACCATGTACCAAAATAAAATCAAAATGGATCAAAGACTCAGCTATGAAAACAGAAACACTGAATCTGCTGGAAGGTAAAACAGATACAGCTCTGGAAGGCACAGGCATAGTAGAGACTTCCTGGACAGAACCCCCTTTGCACAAGAAATAACATCAAGAATCAACAAATGGGATCGTATCAAATTGAAAAGCTTCTGCACAGCAAAGGAAACAACTGAGTGAAAAGACAATCTACAGAATGAGGAAAGAATTTCACAGTTATTCCTCTGACAGAGGATTACTCTCTAGAATATATAAGGAGGGCCAGGGATTTAGCTCAGTGGTGCCACCGCCTGCCTCACAAATGCAAGGTCCTGAGTTCAATCCCTGGTACAAAAAAAAAGACACCCCCTCCAAAATAAAAGACCAAATAAAAAAAAGGGAAATTGAAATGAGTAGACACTTCTCAGAAGAAGTAGTACAAATGGCCAGTAAACACATGTACAAATGTTCATTATCTTTGTGTATTAAAGCAATTCAAATCAAAACAACACTGGGGTTTTACCTTATTCCAGAAAAAAATGACCATCATGAATAAATCAAATAATAACAAATGCTGGCGAGGCTTCAGGGGAAAAAGGAACCCTTCTTTCTACATTGTTGGTGGGAGTATAAACTAGTAGAACTACCATGGAAATCAGCCTGGAGATCCCTCAAAAACGAAACATGGAAACTCCATTCAACCCAGCTATTCTTGTAGGTATCTTTCCAAAAGGGTTAGACATTATATTACAGTGATACATTTATACCCGTGTTTATAACAGCACAAATAAAACAACAACAACACAACCCAGCACAAATCATAGTAGCTAAAACTTGGAAGAGACCTATATGTCCATCAACAGATGACTGAATAAAGAAAATGTGGTACTTATGTACAATGGAGTATTACTGTGCTATAAAGAAGGATACATTTGAGGCATTTGTAGAAAAATGGATGCACCTCAAGACCATAAGTTTAAGTGAAATAAATCAGACACAGAAGCTTAAATATCATATAGCTTCTCTTATATGAGAAACCCGAAGTATAAATAATTTAAAGAGCAAAATAAAGGATGGATAATAATCAGGGAGATCTTTTGTGAATGGGAAAGGGATCTACAGATGGGGGAGTGGAAATAAAAAGAATTCAGGTGTGTTCTGTACATGTGTCAGTTCTCTGTGATGAATGTAATCACTGTGTACTGCAAACATGTAGTAATAAAAATTAAAAAATAAGAAATAGCTCATTTCTAGACATATTGCTCCTCAACTTATAATGGTAGTATGTCCCAGTAGTTGAGAATATTATAAGTGAAAATGCATTTAATTCACTGCCAGATGTTAGACTTCGAGGCCTGGTCCACTGTCCAGTTTGTGCCTTCCTCTGCTCTGGGTTTCGGCTCACGGCCACTGCCCAGCAGACAGAATCCAACCCAGGTGAGCCCAGAGAAGATCAAAATTCAAAATGTGACCTCCTTTCCTCCCTCGCGCCCACCTTCCTTTCTCCCTTCCTCTCCATACTCCGAACTGACCCCAGGGCCTTGGACACGCTAGGAAAGCACTGTAGTGCTGAGCTACATCCATAGCCCTTTTTATATATTTTTTTGTTCTTTTTGTTTGTTTGGTACCGACGATCGAACTCAGGTCCTTGCGCTTGCACAGCAGGCGGCAAAACCACTGAGCTAAATCCCTGGCCCCTACTTCCTTTTTTTTTCAGACAGGGTCTTGCTATGTAGTTCAGTCTGGCCTTACATGCACTATTAGCTCAGGCTGGCCTCAAACCTGTGCCAATCCTCCTCCTCAGCCTCCTGAGTCCTGAGATTACAGGCATGCACTACTACACCCGGCCCCAAATCAGCTTTTGTAAAAAGTGAGAGAAAGAAGTCACACAATTGCAGATCCACACCAACTGGCATGTACCCCTCTGTGGCGATTGACTAATGGTCAACTTGGAGCCCAGCTGTACTGAATCAGTGTGGTCTGGGCGTGGAAGACCCACCTGAGGATTGTCGTCAGTGGCATAAAGAGAGACCTGGAGGGGAAGATCATGTGCTGTTGATTTTCTAGGAGAAGCTTGCTGGGGCTGGTTTTCTGATGCAAACTTGGCTGTTCTTGTCTTCGGAGGAGCTCAGGGTCTCGGTGTCGCTGGGAATGGCTGCTGTTCTCGTCAGGGGAGCTCTGATTTTTCCTTGAGCATCAGTTTGTGGCTCTAGCTTAGATCCCTCGGCCTGGTGGCATAGACCCTTCACCCTGGGGCACAGGCTTTCTGGCTTCCACCAGTGGCCTTTGGGCTTTTCTGGTGCAGATCCTTGATATGAACTTACATGAGACATTGCTCTAGGGCTCTGGCTGGACTCCTGGAGGACACTGCCTTGGGCTCTAGGCCTTCAGCTGGACTTGTGTGGGACACTGCCGTGGTTTCCAGGCCCTCGGCTGGATTCTTCAGGTCTCTAGCGTGTGGATAGATCTCTTGCACTCCTCTGTTTTTGACTTTTTGGATGAATAGTATAAAATAATCATATAAGTTATGTATCCTGTTTTAGATCGATTCCCTTGCAAACCTTGGCTACAACACCCTCTACACCAGAGGAAAGCATCTAAACTCTGCATTTCAATAAATAACTGACGTTTTCTTGGGATGTTCGTCTGTAGGAAATTATAGGCTGTGATGTAGCGTATCATCAGAGAATGTCAAGTAGATTACAGTATTATGTTACTCTGATGTCACTGCTGGGCATTGTTTTAGTCTTTTCCTTACCAACAGACACATTTACTAGATCTTATTTCAACATCGTGTAAAGAAAGAGTTTGTAATAATTTCCTTTGTGGGCAGCATATCTCATGTTGGATGACTTTTGTCCTCTTCTTTGCAGGTTGTAGCTGGCTGTTGGTCTAGTGATGTTTTTGGGGTCTCCAGAGCAACCTGTGACCTGAAGCCAACTCTGAAAGAGGAGGAGTGGGTCAAAGACATAGAGATCAAAGATTAGACAGGACAGGGTGCTTAGAGTGCTAGATTTGGAATTTTAAAAAAGGAAAGTGAAGAATTAATTTTACTCAGAGAAGTCTGGCCTGGGTCTTTAGCTGCTGGGAGATGGTGTCTCGCCTGGGGATGTCCTGCCTGGCGGGAAGATCTGTTTGCCTGAGGAGCCTGGCCAGCAGGTGGCTGAGCAGTGTGATTCATAATGGGGCTTTGCACCTGGCCGCATCAGTCCCCACGGAAGGGAGACGAAAGGGCATCCTTGGCACGGAATCCTGGGGTGAGCATCCTGGTAAGCAGGATGCTTCAGCTTTGCCTCCCCAAGAGACTGGGAGGAAGAGATGACAGGAGAAGACAGAAGCTTTGTGTTCGGGCCCTTTTCAGAGTTTGCCCTGTGTGTTCTTTTGGCAGCTTCTGATTTGTATCCTTTTGCTATAATAAAACTTTAATTGTAAGTATTTTGCTTTCCTGAGTTCTGTGAGTTATTCTAGTAAATGATCAAACCAGAGGAGACAGCAGGCCCCCTGGACTTGTGTCTGCAGACACAGAGGGCCTGGAGGTGCCTGGCAGATCTCCAGAACTCCTTACCTTTTCTTGCCTCACTATGGAGTAGCTGTTCTACCCCTTCCCCGGCCTCACTAGCAGCTGCAGCTTGGCACTGGACCTGCCCGGCACACTGGCTGAAGCAGTATTCCTAAGTGTCAGTGTGTAGCCTCCAGAGCCCAAGAGGCCCTGCCAGTATTGTGCCTCCTTCTTTTGCAGTCAGGACGCAGCTATGTGTATTTTCCTTTTGAGGGGATGTCCTAACGTGCCCCTGAGCTCCAGGCCACAGAAAGCTTTCCTGAAGGGGCAGGTCCTGGAGACTTTAAATTTCTGTCTCCTCTCTAAAGCGCATGTCTTACCCAACTTCCGGTCCTCGCCACCTGCTGCTCCTCTGCAGTCAGGAAAATGTCAGGGTGCAATGGACCAGTGCTGCTCCGCAGAGGTCCAGATGGCCTAACCCTTTCCAGAATACATCATGACACAGATTGGAGAGTTACTATAGCTTGGGGGCCTGGAGGGAAACTAAATGAATACTGCTGTCTAGTCTAGGTGGATGCTCATTCTATCCTCTTTCTTGGGATAAAGAAGACCGTATTTACCAGACCAGTGGCCACTGCCGTGTACTCAAAACTGTATTTACAGGTTCCAGCAGTGAGACCTCACCCAAGACAGTGGCTGCAGCTGGGGCTTGAGTTGAGATAGCCCCAGTCTGCAGAGATTCTCCAGGACCCATTGATTTTCTGCAGGGCTGGCTCATAAATAACAGAGGATGATAGGGACAGCTATTCCTGCATCTTTGAGATCCATAAGGGCATGCTAATGTCCATCTTCCTTCAAAATAGGAGTGTTTTTATTTACCGGCTTGGCCTGGGTGTGGTGGTAGAGAGAGGGGCACAGTTTCAAAGCCTCTTATTTAACCTCCTTCCCCTAACGGCTCAGATCATAAGTCCCCAGTGTGGGCTTCCTCCAGCTGTAAATACACGGACTTCACACACATTCAATGCTGGGGTAGAGGCCACCAGGTGGGCCATGGACCCGGTGGGCATATTCTAAGCTGAATTTCAGCCAGGACTCCATTTCTTTTTATTTTTGTTTTTGAGACAGGGTTTTCGCTATGTTGCCCAGGCTAGTCTTGAACCCTTGGGCTGAAGCCTCTTGTGCAGCTGGAACCACAGGTGCAGGACCTACCCGGTTCCCACCTCTCTATTGGGGTCCACAGTGATATTTCAGGTTTCTGAATGTCAGTGTCATTTCAGACTGTGTGTCTCATAGTCTTCAAAATGCTGATTTCCCCTCCCCTAGTCTATAGCCTGCCGAGTAAAGGCTGTGCGTTCCTGTGTGCTCTCGCTGGGAAGCAGGGAGCCCTTCCTCCTGGGAGTGTGGCTCATCCTCTCACTTCATAGATGTCAGGTTTGGAAAGTGTCTCCGATTTAGGAAATGGCCAAGGGATCACAGCATTCTTTATTTTTAGTGCTTAAAAATGTATTTAATCTTAATTGTGGCAAGAAAACATAACACTTATATTAACCTTCACACGTACAGTTCAGTCGTGTTCAGTATATTCACAATGTTGTGAACTAAGCCCCAGAACTTTTTATTTTGCAAAGCTGGAACTCAGTGCCTAATATATTACTCCCTATCCCCGCCCAACCCCGGGGAACCACCATTCATTCCACTTTCTGTTCCTATGAATCTGACAACAACAGATACCTCATATAAATAGAATCATGCAGTATTTGTCTTTTTGTGACTGGTGTTATTTCACTTAGCATAATATCCTCAAATATCAACCATATCATAGAATGTAACTGCTTATTTTAAGGAGGCTGAGCAATATCCATTCTTCCATCAATGGACCCTTGAGTTGCTCCCAACTTTTGTCTCTTATGAATAATGCTACAGTGAACACAACTGTGCAAGTATTTCTTAGAGGTCCTGCTTTTAATTCTTTGGTAGATGTGCCCAGAGACATTGCTGGATCATGAGGAATTCTCTTTTTAAGTTTTTGAGGATGCATCCTACTGTTTTCCACCTTGGTGGTACCATTTTACATTCTCACCAACAGTGCACAAGCCTTCTGATTTCTCTATATCAGGATTTTATGACTTCTCTGGGACAACTGTAGTCAGCCTCCTGCTCATCTCTTGCATTCTTTTGATTGCCCATATCCAGCACCGCCTTTGTTGGCTGCCTGTCTATTTTGTCCTGAGGGATCATCTTCTGTTAACCAACTTCACTCCCTGTAAGTCAAGCCCTTTTCCTGGCCTTTTGATTTTGTAGATCATTAATATGATTGTCCCCAGTAGACTCCCTGGGTTCTATTGCTGTCACCTGGCCTCTCTTGCCTGGCTATGGGGCTGGGGTCAATTGTTTCCACTGCTATTGATAATCCCTGCTCTATTACTATATCAGTCCATGTCTACTAGAGAAACAGATAAAAGAAACACAAGTATATAAGAATTTACAAGATTGGCTTACAATGGCCGCCCACAGAGCCGGATGTGGAAGAGTGCAGAGGGTCTGTCTGCACACTGGAGACGGAAGGATCTCATCGCAGGTGTGGAGCTCACTGCAGTGTCCCTCTTGAGTCGAATCAGGAGGCCAATGCATTTGCCCTGGAAGGCTGAGTCTATGCCGGAAGGCTGAGGGACCTGTACCAGAAGCTGAAGAGTGCGCTGGAAGCCAGGAGATGACGTCCACGGTGAAGGTGAGAGCTGGAGTGCCTCCAAAGACTCAGAAGCAGACCCGTCCTTCATTTCCCCTTTATTCCATCCAGGGGACAAGCCGCCCCAGGGTGCGTCTTCCCGCCCAGGGTGTGGAATGGCTGAGCCCATTTGGTCGACTTTCTCTTTCGCAGCTTGACACAATCAGTGAACCATCACAGTTACTAACTCTCCTACCTCCACCCCTAGCCCCCAGAGGAGGCCACTGCGGGGATGAGTGATGCCAGGGTCCCTGTCGAGTGCACTCCTCATGGCCCTGGTGAATGAATGGTGTTGTCTCCAGGGTGATGTAATCCCATGGTGTCTCTGGACCTCAAATACGAGATCCATTCCAGCATGTCTACTTCTCTAAGCTTTTAAATTCCTTCCTCCATTGCTGACGGTCAGACACTAAACTTTGCTCAGTGTTATTTTGCTTTTTCTAGGACTCTAGAAGCACCCTAGTAGTTGGAGTAATTCTGTATGACAGGAGAGTGTCCTCTAATTAATAGTCCCTCTCTGTCTTTCTGTCTCCATCTCTCTGTTTTCATTGAGATTCTTTATTTGCTTTCTTTAAGTTTAAAAAAAATTTATTGTCTATGTTTGCAACACATGATAATCACATTCATCTTGGGACTTGATATGTGTATATATCACATCATATAAACTCTTTCTTACCCAATTTTATATGCTAGTATCATCAAAATCTAGATCATGGGCCCCTCCCGGGCTCCTGTTGGTATCCATCCGGTGGGTGTTTAAGGTCCTGCATGGTATTGGCAGGATTATGCTGTGACTAACCCTGAATTATCATTCTGGAAGCCAGGAGGGGAAAGAACCAGATCTGGAGGGCACTGCTGTTCCCTCCTAAGGAAAGACTGTCATCTTTCCTGGGTGGCCAGTGCTGCTGTCTCTTACTGGGGATCGGTGGGCTGCCTTTGAAGGCCATGAGGGTCCAGAGGAATGTAGACATCTGAAATCTTCAGTGACACTGACTAACCAAAGGACTAGATGTCCCCATTCCATGTGTCAGGTTTTCTGAACCAGAGCCCTGATCCTGGCTCACTAGATCTACTTTGGCTAAGGGTTCTAGCTACTGTGAGTTCTTCAGCTTTGCATCTTTGTTACCAGGCTGGGTCTTCATCTTTTATAGCCCTCCTTCCACGGGAGATAAGGGCCCCTGAAAGCTAGCAAAGAACTTACTGGCCTTCACACAGCTTCAGTTGTTTGGTGACTGGCTCTTCCTTATTTTTCTAATATGATTCCAGCAGTTTAGTAATGGACAGCCAATTCCATTGTCCTTGTACATATTTGTCTAAGGTACTTTTCAAATGCCCCAATCTTTTGCTAGTCAGGGTTGTACCCTCTGAGATCAGACTCTTACATTACTATTTTTTTTTTTAACTGCAGACTGTCCTGGCTACTAGTTTTCCTTCAAATTTTGTTTACAAACAGAGAAGTTCCAACAAGTTTATTAGGTATATATTTTCTGTCTTCCAAGTTACCGTTTTGTAAATTATTCCACCAATGTATAACCATAGGGAACCTCCCTCCCAACTCCAATAGCAGCTTCCTCTGCTAACTGCTGCCTGGCAGCCTCTGTGTGCTCCTGGTCCTGTTGTTAACACTGAGTGTTTCAAGCTTTAGTTATGGCAGCATCACCTTTCCAAGAACCCATTTATGCTTTAGTATGCACTGCTGAGTGACAAACCACCGCAGAACTTAGTGACTTAAGGCAACAATGGTTTATTAATTCCTCCAGTTGCAGATGTAGCTCAGTGGCACCTCACCTGCCTGACAAGCGCAAGGTCCTGAGTTTGATCCCTGGTATGGGGCCGCAGGGGAGAGCTCTTTAATTTCTCCAAATTCTGGGGAGTGACCAGGTAGCTGGTTTTCTGGTCCTGCCAGTTAGGACGTCTTCGGCTATGTTTTGCTGGATGCTTGGATTTGGGATGGATCCACGTGGTTTTCAGTTCTAAACTACATTGTCTCACATCAAGGATGCTAGCCCAGGCTTCTTATATGCAGCTGAATTTTAAGGACAGAGTGGAAACTACAGGATCCTTAAGCTCTGGAACTTACACAGTGGCAAGTTCTATTTATCAATCAACACAAACTCAGATTCAAGCCGCTGTTGGAGAAACAACAATGCCCGTCAGATAGAAGGAACCACAAACCGACATTGAAGAAGTGTGTGAGGCGAGCTGATTGAGAACCGTTATTTAATGACCTACCACAGTAAGTTGAAGATGCCCATTAGTGACCTCGCAGGCAGAGATGTCAGATGGGTACTTGGCTGTAAGGGCCTTGATCTTGGGGGTGGGAGCTCGGGCTGGAGGAATACACTTGGGAGACATCAACATCTAGACATGGCGTTAATGGGAATCCTCCTGGTTACGGTGTAAGCCTGGAGTGCATGAGGCTGTGCTGGCAGAACTGCCCTCTGCAGCTAGAGCTGGTGGATGCGAAGGGTGATGAGGATTTGACTCCTGGGGCGGCTGTAAGGCATTCCCTCACCTGTACTTAAAGCATGCCACCGGCCCTCTCCTTCCCCTCCGACCCCCACAGAGCCACGAGCATCAGAATGGGGTAGGACACTGTCCACACACCCAGGACAGGACGAGAGCTCTTCTAGCACCTCACTGTGCCACCTGGCAGGAAAGGACTGTGCTGTCATGGTGTTGATATCTGGAGGAAGGAAAAGCAAGAATGAGCTTGAGTCTAGAATTTCCAAAAGAAAGGGGTGATTTCTGAGCTATCCCAAACCAGCAGGAAAGACATGGGCACTAACCTCAACTGTCCAAAGCTGGAAGCCAAGAAGAGGAGGGATTTCGCCAGAGGCGAGGACACAGATCCCAGAGGACAGAGTTCCGGCTCTGCTTCCTTTTCTGTTACCGGTGCTCATATGAAGTCTCTATGAAACCTGCCTCGTGTTTATCACTTCTGCAGCTGCATCAACCTCTATGCCTCTAATCAGTTAGGAAGAGTGGGGACTCTGTGTTGCTCCCCATCCTGAACACATTGCTCCCCACACTGGTTAAGTCTCCAGGATCCCCATTTTTAAGCCGGCCCCGCTAATTTCTGCATTCTTCTCCCCATCCCCGCTCCCAGTCTCTAGGTTGCAGTGGGGCTGGGCCGAGGCCAATCGACTTTTTGGCTCCATCTCTCGATTCCGGAGTGGAGCCGGGATGCACTAATTGACCTCGAGGGTCTCAGCTGTGCTAAGTTGGGTGTTTGTTAGCTCCCTGTTAGGCTTGTAATTAGTGCAGGGAATCTAGGTCAGAGGCAACGGTTGGAGCGATGGTCTCCCGGGGCCTGAAGAAAGGTGGGGAGGAGCAAACAGATTCCTCTCCCTGTGGGTGGGGCGAGCTAGGGACAGAGGACAGTGGGACTCGTGTGGTACACAGACAAGCAGGATCACGTGCAGAGAGGCACTCAACTCTGGTGTGGGGGCGCGCGCGCTCGTGCGTGTGTGTGTGTGTGTGTGTGTGTGTGTGTGTGTGTGTGTGTGTTCCTTCTGCTTTTACTGGGTTTCCTGCCAACCTCTCCATATATGGTGTGGATCTAGAGCGGGCTGGGGATTGGCTACTGTTGTTGGGAGACCGGGAGGTAGGAGGGAAGCAGAAACAGAAATGAACCCGGCTCAGGGAGGCAGGGAGAAGGGGGAGGACGCCAGAGCCCGGCTCCCAGGGTTGCAGAAGGGGCTAGGTCTGTGAGCTTTAGACAGCGGAGAGAGTCTTTGGGACCAGTTTCTGGGGGAGAAGGAGCTAAATGTGCTGTTGGCAGAGGGGCTGGGAGAGTGGGTGGGGAAGGGGACAAGTGGTTCCCTAGGGTCAGGCTTAGTGTGGCTCGGTCTGTGGGGGCAGGAGCGGGGGTTAGAGACACTTGTGCTCCCCACTCCATTCTTCTCACCCTAGACAACCGACAACTATGCTGTGGAAACTGCATGCAAATTAACTCATCAGCTTTCCTGGCCAACACCTCAGACATTCTTCCTAGTGCAGGAAGAGCAGCCCTGTGCCCTTACTGATGCCCCAGTCCCTCCTGAACAATTTAATGGGCAGGAACAGGAGAAGCTAAGGAAATGCCCTTGAAATATGAAAGAGGACTTGGTTCTGCACATGCCTCTTCCCTCACCCCATTTCCACTCTGTCCTCAATTTCCCCCTCCCCACCTCAGAGCCTCCCAGAGAAGCTTCCCTTTTCCAGTTCATTTGGGCAAGAATAACATAACAAAGTTAATGGGAAGGAAGAAAAGAGTAAGAATAGGAACATCTTGAGAAAGTGTCCACAGGCAGCTGTGGGTTGAGCGTTGTCATTTCACCCGCGGCTCCCTCCGTCCACTCCCCAGAAACAGAGCCAGGGACGGAAGCGGCATCCTCATCTTGCTGGTTGGCCGCCACCATAAATGATCTTTCTAGTGCAACCCTGGCTTTGTGCTGAGCTCTGCTCTGAAGCCCAGGGACTGTGCTTCCCCCTTACAGCCCTCGCCGTTAGCTGGGCACCTGGCACTGTCTCTCTCTCTTTTTTTTTTTTGGTACCAGGGATCAAACTTGGGTCCCTGTGCTTGCAGGGCAGGCAGCGGAACCACTGAGCTAAATCTCTGGCCCTTGGCACTGTTTCTCTTTGGAAGAGAGGTGTGGGGCCCAGCCTGTGGCCTGATCAAGTGCACGGCCTCGAACAGAGTGACAGTGAGGAAACCTGTACCCTAGCCCTCGTTCACAGGGTGCTCTGGCCATCTGAGCTCACAGTCCCGGCCTGCTGAGCTGTGCTAATCAGAGGAGCCTCAGCCACCACGTGTTGACCGACAGGCTTTTCCCACACACTGCCTCCATCCCATTCAGTAGCTCGTGTTTAAACCCCAGGAGGAAACAGACACCCGGAAAGCCTTGGCTTACCGAGGGCCTTAGAACCAAAAGGTGGCAGAGTCGGAACTCAAATCCATGTTTGGGCTCAAAGCTGGACTCACTTCACCACCGTGTGGCATGGGTGCTCCAGCAGTTACTGCAGAGCTGAAGCTGTTGGAAAACCCCAGGAGCCAGCGGCCAGGGTCTCCCGAGGTCCGACTTCCTTTTCTTCCTCCCCTCACCTGCTGTTCTCTTCACCAGTGTCTCCCACCACTGCACGGCTCTCCTGGGAGCCACCGATGACTGGCATATTGGGACACACATGTCACTCTTGCTTTTGTCTTTTTTCATTATGTGGGCGTGACAAGGAAGAAAAAGCGAGAGAAGGCAAAATGGTGGTAAAATAAAATTCAAAGATGGAGATTTATAAGAAAGTGTAATTTTAACTCAGACTTTCAATATTTGTAGCACAGGCTGAGTTTGGGAGTGGAGCCTACCTGGAGGACAGGAAGCCTGCAGACCTCGGTTCCCTCTTGTCGTCCCTAAGGAGACCCTGGGCAGGACAGCACGGTGGCACCGCCACACTTTCCCTGACTCAAGTAGGATGCTTGTTTTGGGGAACAGACTACATAACTACAGGCCTGATACAGGACAAGCCTTCGTGACAGGGAGTGCGGGGGGAGAGAGAGCGAGTCCCTCTTCCCTGGCTGGTTTAATGTAGGCCCCCTTTGCTCAGGTGGCTGCAGCAGAAGGGGAACTGAAGGGTTTCTGCTTCTCCCATAGCGTTTTCCTCTCTCTCGTAGTCCAGCTCCCTAACACCAAGGCAGCCTCACGGCCAAGTTCTACAAGGAACTTGTCTCCATTTCCTCTCTCTCCTCCCCACTCACAGCCGCTGAAGTTCTAGGACTCAGCTCTTGGGGGTGAGAAATTTAGGGAGAAGGATCAAGAAGCTTTTCAAGGGTTTTCTAGCCCCTCATTCACTTGATTCATGAGGCTTTCTGTCCCCTTCTTTCCAAACATAATTTGTATGTTCACAACTCCCCTGTGGAACTTATCACTGTTATTACACCTGATTTCAGACACTTCAGAGAAAAGCAGCAAATAAAATAAATTGAGTTGTGGATCCTACTGTGGACAAGCATGTAAGGAAGCCCAGCAGCTGCAGGCTGGTACTCGAGCAGGGTCCTCTGAGCTGAGCTGCTCGGCACTGGGTCTGCAGGAGGAGGGGGAGACTATAGGAAACCCTTGCCTGGCTGAAAGAGGAACCCAGACATAGGTTTGGTTTCCCTCTTCATCCTACTCAGCTTGTATCACAAATCAGTTTCATTCTTAATTCAGTTCTTCCATGGGGTCAGCAGTTCCCAGTTCCCCTGTGCCAGGCCTCCTAGTCAAATGACCAAGCTAGTCCATCCAGTGGAGGCAGTATCTCTGTAGGGAAGGGCAGCCCAATCCCGCCAGTAACCCCCCACTCCTTTTTTGCAGTATGGGGATGGAACCCAGGTCCTCACCGTGCTGGACAACTGCTCTACCACTGAGCCCTGCTTGGCCCCAGCCCAAGGCAGCTCAATCTTGAGAGACTGAGAGTTTAATTCCACACATCCTCTGCAGGGCTGGGGTAAATTTCACTTCTCCTATGGCATGGACAGGTGGCCTTGGCCTCCACATCCCCAGAACTAGAGTTGGGCAGCTGAAATTTCACCCTCAGATTGAAAGTGTGGAATGGGACATACGAGAAAACCTGCTCTCCCCAGCCCCCATGGATTTAGAAGCCTGTGTGTGCCTCTGTCCATCAGCCACAGGCCCGCGAGGCAGGCAGTGTCTGGCAAGCGAGCGGGTTGCCTGTGCGACCCTTCTCTCTCTCCTTATTCCTGCTATCGGGGTCACCTTTCCTCAAAAGTGGTGGGGGGCTAAGTAAGGAGAGAGGGTAGGGGCAGAGCAGAGTGGTAGGGGTCAGGCACCAGCAAGAGCAATGAGTTTGTGTTTGTGGGTTTTTTTTTTTTTTGATTGAGGTAAATAAAAAAGCTTTATCCTGCAAACACTTGGAGATAAGAGTCTGTCCGCCCCCACCAAGTTCCCGACGAGTCTTCCTTCACATCAAGCTCTTCCGGTACTGACTGTGCTGGGTGGTCTGTCTGAGGTGGGAGTCCGATGTCTGCAGGTCCATCTGTCTGTACAGGTCCCTCAGCTCCCTGACTTCCTGCAGCACCCGCTTTGCCTGGCTCCAGTTCGATGAGGCCTCTCCCAGCAGCCGCTCTGTCTCCAGCAGCAGCTGCTCTGACTCAGACTCAGGAGGAGACCGAGGGGGGTCCTTGGCCTTCCGCTTGCCATCTCCCAGTCCCTGAACCTCTGCCAGCAGCTCCTGAGTCTTCTCCAGTTTCTTTGCTACCAGGTCCTGGATGCGGGACAGCTGCCCTGGGTGGGGTGGGCCGGGGGCTGGAGACTCCTCAGCCCGCAGCTGGAGGATGCGGGCAGGGGCCGTGTCCCGCTGAGACAGGATCTCCTCCAGGGAGGCACAGCGGCCTTTCTCTGTGGGCGTCAACTTCTTGGGGGCCTGGGGGGTGTAGGTGGCCCCCTTGTTGGGCTTTTCCCAAGGCCGGGGAAGGCTGCTGGCCCGCTCTGAGGAAGGCTGGATGCGGTCCGAGTCTGCTCTCCGCCGACAGCCTGCCAGCTGGGCCACAGATTTGTCCAGGTCCACCCGGAAGCTCTCCGCACAGGAAGTAGACTCCTCAGGGGAAGGGTCCTCTTCTTGGATCAGGTCCAAGGTCAGCATCCCATCCGAGGTAGAGGTGGAAGCCTGGGAAGGACAGGGTGGGAATGAAGGGGGTGAACTCACCAGTAGACACTTCAGGAGCAACGGCCTAAAGGGAGATGCAGGTTGTGGTCATTTTCCTGCTCGGTCTGCCTTCTCTAAACACTCTTGACTGGGCCCTTCTATGTTGTTTACTGGTTTTTATTCCTTTGATGGTGACTTAAACCTCTCCTTTTTTTCTTTTTCTTTTTTTTTGAGATGGGGTCTGGCTATGTAGTTCAGGCTGGCCTTCAAGTCATTATGCAGCCCAGGCTGGCTTCAAACTCAAGATGATCCTCCTGCCTCAGCCTTCTCAGTGCAGGGATTACAGGTGTGTGTCACCATGCCCTGGCTCTCCTCCCCTTCTTTCTTTCCATTTTTCTATGATTTAATTTCTCCCGCTTGTTTCCCATACTCTCCCCCTGGCTGCAAACTTCCTGAGGAGCATCCATTTCCTCTGTATGGGGACTGAAGTCTCCTGTAGGACCTGGCACACTCAGGGTGCGCCACACAGCACAGGTGCTGTCCCGCCATCTGCTTCCTCGGCCCCCTCTGCTATGTGAACCCCTTGCCTTATTCTAAACATCCAGAATAGTCCAATTCACGGTGGTGAACCTGTGGCACACGTGCTGCGGCTGGCTGTTATCACTGAAAGCGCTAATGAAAAAGGGGCTCGCTATTCTGTATGTAGTTATTGGCTACAATCACGCCTCACAGCAACCGCTCAGGCTTGGCGCGCGCACTGCCCCATTGCAGCTCAGGCCCCAGCTCAGACTCTGTCCACCGCAGGGCCTACTTCTTTCCTTGGCACCTCTGGGACTCTCCCTGGAGAGCTCAGATGAGCGCCAGAGACACTTACTTTGGATCAAAGTTGACTGTGGACTGGTGCTTAGCGCTTAGTGCTGCCGCCTGTCAGGACAGCCGCTACCACAAAACAGTGGCTCCTGTCGTCTTGTACAGATTCTTCTTTTCACTTTCCCTGGGGTGTATCTCATTTTCCCCACTAAAATTTCTGATGGCAGTGACAAGAGAGCTCATGGTAGTGCTGAATAAATATTTTTGCTCTACAGAAATCTAATAAAAATGCAGACTGGGTGGTGGGGACCTCCTCAGCCTCTGATCTTGGTCCAAGAGGCCCCCACAAAGGCCCCTCATAAGGACTGACACAGAATGGGCCCCTGTCAGTGTCTGCTTTCTTGTAGTCCTACGTACCACAGCCATGAGGTGTCCCCGAGTTGGGGGGCGGCGGGAGTGCTGGATTTTTGCCCTGTCTCTTGTGGGGTGTGCGAGATAGCTGTCCTCCTCAACGGTGACCTGAAGAGATGCACTGTATGTCATGGATGCTGTCGAGGGCCCTGTCCCAACCCAGCATCCCCCAAGGCCTGGACAGGGAAATACAGCCAGCCCATGAACTGCTTTTCTGCCAACGCCACGGGAAAGGATTTCCTGCACATGAAGGCCCCAGCTGGCTTGTGTGTCATGAGGTGAGGGAGGAGGACACGGCAGAAGACTTGAAGGTGGAAGAAGAGGGCTTTCAGGAGGGGGAAGAAGTAGATCTGATGGGGGAGCAAATAATAGGCCCCCTAAACTACCCCTCTTTGTTAAGTTGCAGTTGCTTCCTCTGCCCCACTGCCCCCCTCCCCCCAAGTCCTCTGACCTCATCCAAGATGCGGTTCTTTGCTCGGGTGATGGCGGAGTTGAGGGCGTTGATCCACGACTCCTTCTCTTCTGGACTCACTGCCAGGAAGATCAGGTTGGGTGCCTGTGAGGGGAAGATTCTCGTTTCAGCCAGGGTTTTAGAGCTGTTGGCTCACCTTGATAGTGAAGAAATAAGAAATTATAATCTCATTCTCCTAGATCCAGCTCCTGGCAGGAGGCAGATTCATCTACAACTGAAGGGAACTCAGTCTCTATTTCTGCAAAATGCCATAGTTCAGAGCTTGTTTTAGAAATGACCAAGCAAGAGCTAAGAAGGGCACTGGATATTAGAGGAGGTTTGATAAAGGACAGGTATTAAGGATCTTTAAATGTTTGAGGAAACAGGATGTGACAGGAACGGCTTCCCCAGGTTCTCTCAGACAAAAGGAGTCAGACTCAGAAGTTTAATCACCTACCAGGGCACAGATAGTGACTTTTCTCCCAAGAGATATACTGTGCACACAGGGGTGTGTGTGTGACAGACAGAGAGAGAGAGAGAGAGAGAGAGAGAGGGAGAGAGAGAGAGAGACAGACGGGGGGGGAGAGGGAGAGAGAGAGGGAGAGAGAAAGAGAGATAGATCTGGAAGGAGAAGAGAGACAGTGAAGGCCTGTCCTGCCTGGAAGGAAGGAAATGGCCACAATAGTCATTGGTTAAATAACAAAAGCCAACAGGACAGCAAGCAATTTGGGGCCTCTGAGACAAGAGTGCTGAGGGAAGAACCTGGAGGGGACGCTTCCCAGGCCCCTCTGACTGCCATATTCCCATGGCCAGGGTGGCAGGAAAAACCTACCGTGTTACCCGGCTGCTTGGAGTGGGTAAGAGTAAACTTGCTATGATTTTTCTTGCTTCTGCTCTTGGATTTTCGGAGCTCTTCACACTTCTCATAGTCACTCAGGTCAAACACTTCTTGAATATTTTTCTCATCTTTCACCTAGGGGAGGTTTAGGGGTGAGGTAAGGAAGATAAAATTAGTTAGCCCCTCCTCCCCTAATGTTAGTTTAGAAGTCTCCGGAACCAGCAGCAGCCTGAGGGAGGGATGACAGGAAAGGGCCATCCTGCCCGAGGCCTACAGAGGACTGAGAGCGGGGTGTGGGGCTGGGGAGCCTCCTAGTCCTGAGTCCTTAGGTGGATTTCTGTTTAAACCCCTTGCTCAATTCTCCTCAACCAACCCACCATCTACAGAGCCCCTCTTTACCCATGATCCCTACTCTGTTCCTCAAGGACAAGACTCACAAGTCCTTACAATCCTCATGTCCTGAAAAGGGCATGGAGAACAGGGAAATCCAATCATTCCCAACCAAGGAGGATCTGAGTGCTGCTTGATGATCCAGATGAAGCTGGTCAGTCTGCAGGGAATGAAAGGCTGTCTCCGGCCTCACTGGTTTTGTTCACTCCCTGTACTCTCCTCTGATTCCAGTACGGTATTTACTACTGTAAAGAGACTCATCCAGGCAGAGCAGCTAGCACTTATCTGGTAAAAACTTAAAAAATATGTAAAAGTAGCCCCAGGTTTTCCTTGGGGAATCTACCCTCCCGGACTGGAACTGTTTTCCAAAGGAGCCCTGGCTTCCCAAGCCCTGGGCACAGGAAGCATGCATGTGTGTGTGCGCGTGTGTCCCCTCGTCTTTCCTCGGGGATCTTATCAACCTCGAAGTGGGGAAGTAGCCTCTTCCTTTCCACAGCCCACTTAAAGTCTTGTGTCTGCCTATCCTTCTAAACTGTTGTTGGACCCAGGGGGCTGAAGACAGGACAGATGATCACGGCTTCTGTGAGGTGAGTGACAACCCATCGTCTACCTCTGCTGTTTGTTTAGGGAAGGCTTTGTTCCCTGGCTTCGGACTGGGAAGCAACCAGAGGCTCTGAAGGATCACGGATGCAAGTGGGACAAGGTGCTACAAGGGCCATCCAAGAACAATTCCCAGAAACCCAGAGCCAGGATGTAGGAGGATGCATCATCCCCCCTCTCCCACCTCTCCTGGGGTTAGACTATCAGCAGAGGCCAGGAGCCTCGGAGAGGAAAGTGCTGGGTGTGTGTGTGTGTGTGTGTGTGTGTGTGTGTGTGTGTAGCCAGGGGAAGAGAGCAACGTGTTCCATTTTCCTGAGGGACTGGGAAGGGAAGGGAAGGGAGTTACTCTGGCTTGGACATGGCTGATAAGGAGCTCTGGGACAGAGACACTGACAGAGCCCAACCCTTGGAACTGCAGGGGTAGAAGACAGGGCGAGACAACAGGACAGCTCCAGGGCCCCGAAAGGATGGGCACCCCCGAGGAGCCCTGCTCTCCTCTGTATTCTGTTCCCTACAATCTAATTCCCAGTCTCATTTATAATCACTCAGCTCTCGAATTCTCCCTTCTTTCTCCTGATTCTTCATGGCCCAACAGAGATAATGCCTGTGCTTGCTAAAAGCTGCCCGGAACCCAGCTTCCTCTGCCCTGGGGTCTCCCTGGGATCCAGCTTCTGCTGCTATCTGTCAGTGCCGAGAAAAGGTGCCCCAGTCCTCTCTGGAAAAGGGTGGCCTTTGGCCCAGGAATCAGAAAAATGTTTTATGATAAACACAGGGAAGGAATTCTACGGTGGAGGTAGCTGTAGATTTCATCGCTCCAAGTAGAAGTAGCGACGACAAGATTGGTGTAAACTGTGAGAGTGAGGATATGGATATTTTGTATTTGCACTAACATGTCAATTACAAATATTACATTATACTTTTAAAAAATCTTAAAATCTTGAATCGATTGGTTCTGGAGCTTTTGGGAAATGGGCAGAGTAAAGCCTGGAGTCCTCTGTCAGTGTCACCCTTAAGGTAGGCTTGCTGCGGCAGGAAAGCTGGCAGGAAGGGACAGTAACTCAGTATACTATTCCTTCTTTTCCAATGCCTTTCCCGGCAGGGGGCAGCGGGCCCCAGGCCAGTCAGATGCTCCTGACTCACAGGACACCAGGCTGAGGTCACCCCATCCTTCCCTAGCTCTGGACGAGTGGCTCTTCCACTCACAAGGCGCAATCCAGTTCTTTTGACCTGAGACTCTGCTCTTTGGACAAATACAAACAAGAGAAAAAATGTCCTGTTTCTTTTACCCTTTCACTGTTCTCTAGTTTCCTCTTTGACGTGTAGGAAATTCTCCCTGATTGCTCACACAAGTTTCCTGCCATTATGAAGTCTGGGAAAGCAGAAGGTACACTTTGACACTTGCTCTTTTTTTTTTTAAACTACAAAGCCAGAAAACTGGTGAGAACTTTCTGCAGAACTTGTGACTGAACGGAGGTGACCCTTACTATTCAATCACCCGGGCAGGCTTCTCTCACCTCACCCCTCAGGATTTCCCTCAGCAGGTTCCTGACTTGTGGTAGGAACAGCTAGGTTTAGATACCCTGCAGGGGGGTCGATTTAGCCCTGGCACAGCCTGGCTCTTCCCTAGTTGCCTTGGCCCGTTCTGTTTTCAGATGAGTGTGTCCTCTTGGGCTGCAGTCGGTTTCAATACCATAAAAGGATTTATTTACCTAAATATAATCTACTGAATAGACTGTCTACTGCCAAAAGCAGAAGTGGTTAGCACTCAGGCAGGACTTTCAGTTAGCCCTGGGCAAGGGAACACAGACAGGGAGGAGAGGCCATCCCAGAGAGAACACAAGGCACAGTTACAAAGTCAAAAGTGGCCTGTGACTTTCGTGTTTAACTACAGAGCCACAGCGATGCAGGGACATCAGCGGCTTGTAACTCCATTTTCTCCCCTCTGATATAAATACGGGTGGGTGGGAAGGAGTTAGAATATGAGGACCTTATCTATTTTTTTTTTTTTTAAGTGGAGTGGAACAGAGAGCATACTAGTTAGGGACATTGGCTTCCACAGAAATAACTGTTTGGCACTCACAGATATTCTACCAAGGTCACAAGACTGAGCCTGGGCTGTGTGCTACTGGCAGGACCAGCACCTCGGGCCACAGACAGGAAAGGAGAGGCTGGCTGGGGTGCGGTGGGGATGCAGGAAAGGGTGAGGGAAGAGCTGAACAGCTGTTTTAGCAGCAACAACAAAAGACAAAAATCCTGTATTTCAGGATGCCAGGATAGGGTAGGAGACAGCAGGGGACACTTGGGACTTCTGGGACATGTTGGGAGATGACTATCATTGTTGTCATAGAGGTATTTGCAAAGAAAAAACATGAAATAAGAAAGCAAACTCAACTTCTAATTCTCGCCCATGTTCTCTCACGGAAGAGCGACCTTGCTCCGCGGAGTAGGATGGGGTGCGGACTCAAAATTGATTTAAAGGGAGACCTGCTGTAGACGTCCCCCGTGGAGACAAAGTGGGGAACGCAGGAAACAGGAATAATTGGCGGCAAAGGGCGCCTACCTCCTTCTCAGAGATGTAGAGCTGGTCTCCTTTCAGCACTACATAGCGGTTTTTCCAAATCTCCCTGAAAATCCCCTTCCCGCAGAATTTCCGGACCCAGCCGACCTTCTCTGGCGGTGCGGACTGATGGTTTCCGTCCTGCAGCCCCTGTGCCGGGGGCGAGGGGACAACCAGACAGTGAGGTGGTTACAGATCGCTCTACCCGTCCCCCCCCCATCCCGCGGCGCCCCGTGGCCGGGAAGCCCAGGTGGCCCCCACTCCGCGGGAGGCTGGCGCTCGCAGCAGCTCCGCGCGCTCCCTCGCGACCCCAAGTCCCCGAAGCCGAGGGGGACAGGGCCGGTGGGCTCGGAGCGCGGCCGGCGCCCACGGCGCTCCGGCCTCTCCCGCACGCCGGGCCGACGGCGTGGATTTTATTTTATTTCTCATTGTCTCCTCGCGCCGCCGCCGAAAAGCGCGGTGCGGGCTGCCGCGCAGAGCCCGGGCCGGGCGAGGCTGAGCCAAGTTCAAGCCCCCGGCGCGAGTAAACAAACAAAAGCCCGGGCGCGGGGCGGCCGCGGGGACGGGGCCGGGCCGGGCCGGGGTCACGGCGCTCGAGTCGGCGGCGGCCGGGCACTCACCCTCTTGGAGGGGTTGTTCTTCTTCATGGCTCCGGCGGGCGCGGGCGCAGGGCGGCCCCGCGTGGGGGCCGAGGCCGGGTCCCGGGCTCCTTCCCCGCGGGAGGGCGGCGGAGATGCCCCGGCACCGCCGCCGCTCCGCCCTCCTCCGCCCGGACGCTCCCCCTCTTTGTAGCTCGGGTTACACTAGGGCCGGCCTCCCTCGCACTCGCTCGCACACACGCCCGCCCGCTCCCCGCCCCTCGGCGCCCTCCGTCCCGGCGCCCACGCCGCCCG